TCAGAAACTTTCAGTGTGTTTCTCTGATAACCTCATCTCTGCCATAACTTTAAGAACTGAAACATGCCTGAAAACTCAGGACCTGCTCCTTCAAAGTCCTGAGCGCTCTTACAGGTGATTCTTGTGACTGAGAATCTGTGACACATTCAAGCATCTCAAAACCCTAAAACTGCTTAAATAAGTGGCTAATGAGATCAACAATTGAAAAAAATTGAAATGGTGAAAAAGCTAAACCAGTCCCTAGCTGCATAATGGAATTAATTTCAAAAATCTCACTTTAGGAATGACTGACTTCCATTTTTTAGAACTCAGTGAGAGCTAACCCTAGCGAACTCCTAAGACAGCAGCAGACTTGCAGTGTTTGAGTTCCATGAAGTAAATGAACAACTCAGAGTTATCAATGAACTGCTTTAAAGAGAACAGAAGCTGAGAAAGAAGCATGCATATATGCAAAACATGAGTTTCTAACTAAAAGTTGGGCTTGCAGATGCAGGACACCATTTATTCTTCCTCAGCAGCTGGGTTATTTTACAGATAACTGGGCCTCAAAAGTTATGGGAACTGTGACAATTATCTTGCAATATCTCAAGAAAAGTGAATGAAGAGCAAAACAAGGTCAAGAGCAGTCCTTTTTTTAAGCCCATCTGTTAAAAATTCGCTATATAGATGAGAAGAAGGCAGCATCTGTTAAAAGTAAATGCAGTACTTCATTGCTTTCTAAGTCTTGCTAGGAAGCTATCAAAGATAGCAAGGACTTCTTGTTTAAACAAGCCCAAGTAAGAAGGAGAGGAAGAAGACTGTAAATAAAGAAAGCCTTCTATAAATATAGACCACCCTCCAAAATCTGCCATGGTTATCTGATTCTGAATGCTGTGATTAACCTATCACCTGATTTTACCTGATGATGCTAGGCAAAGCAAGTAACAGATGCTCCTTTCTAACAACAAAGGATCTTATTTTAGTGGTTCCTGACTTATATATGTATCAGTTGTATGTATTGCTCTAGCACTAATAAATCCTCATTACAGGTCTCCAGCTGCCCTTTTTTTTGCACGTTTTCATTTTTCATATGCAGATAAGGGGTTACTATCTGCAAGCAGAGACAAATTACAGATGCACCTGAGAAAAGATTGAGCAACACAAACAGTAATTTCTGGACACCCAAACATTCCTACACATAGATACCATATTAATCACTGCCTTAGAAATGACTTTGATCATGATGTATTTATTCTGAGTAATATCAACATGTTCATACATGAATATGTTGAAATCTCACTGGAAACTTTTTGTTTGTCACTCTGCTATGCAGACTTCGTTCTCTGAACTTTCAGTGACTCAGTCTACAGCATGGCAGCAGGCAAAAAGGAAAGACTTTAGGAAAGGTGTATTTAACTTAGACCCAGATTACAGTAGCGATTACAGCTGTTGTCTCCATATATGTTCCAAAGCCAACCTATTATGTTCTGATGTGAAGAGTGAGAACAGAGAAAGGCTGAGTAAAATTTGATGAGATAAGAAAGAATTAATCTTGGTGGCTCCCACTCAACAGCTAAGAAGTGCAATTAGGACAAAACGGCCCACCTCTGTTAAATACCTCTTTATGAGAAGCACTTAGGCTGAAGTAACTTCTGTAAAGCACAGGTACTACAAAGCCTGACAAAACACGACTTCTCCTCTGATTCCTAGTGAAGATCTCCAGAATCCTGTTAGCTACTTAAGGTACACGTTGAATGTTTGAAACTGGGCCACTGATTTGGGAGACATAAATTACTTCTTCCAACAGAAGGAGTGTTACACTTCAAAAAATATTTCACACCTTGCCAGTGGTCTTTGCCACAAAATAAAAACAATTCACTGTCACATCACCTGTAAGTAGAGACTCCTAGGTTCTGGCAAATCAGCAGAGCTAAATACTGCTAACTGTTCAGGACTAAGGATCTAGGTTTTAGTTGCCACAGATATCTGCTAAACAATGCAGAAAACCAACGAGGCCTGTACTTTCTCTAATATTCGCTACCAAATTGCCTACTGAGAAGGAAATGGTAAACAAATTACTAATGCTTATTGGTAACGTAACTGCAATCGCAAACAGTTTACCATTTTACAGCTTAACGCAGGCATACTTAAATCTCCAAAACCAGCAATAATTGCCACATGTATTAAGAAAAATTGCAGCCCTTGCTATCCCTGAGTAGCCAAGGGCTCAAGGAGAATGAAAAATGACTGGAGAACCAAGCTACAGCAGAACAAAAATAACTACTGAAAAAGTACAGTTTGCCTGCTCTGCACCAAGGTCACACAGTGCTATAAATTGGTCGTGTAGTAAAGCAGCATCAGAGGGGAAATTCCCAAAACTTTCTTCAAAGAGCCCTTGCTTTTCGAAGAAAGCTTCCTCCAGCATCCTTAATATCTCATACTCCTGAAGGTATATTATCACAAATACAGGAAGACAGAGACAGAAAGGGAGAGCAAGCACACAAAATTCACATTTTCTCTCAAAGCAGTTGGGACATAAAATTCTTGAAGTTTTCTCCAAATTTGCTAAAATTACACTGGGAGTAAGGCAGCACAAACTGCCACAGTAATAATTAATATGGCAAATGCATATTCACTGCTGTCATTGCACTTTGATTATCATTTTTAAGAGCAGCAAATTGGACACATGTGAATGAAAGGATTAAATTCCTACTGAGGAATGTTACAGCACACACTGCAGTATAGCCTACTCCTCTTGTAAGAATGCAGATCTTTCTGGAGACTTGTTTCTGCTTAGTCGCATACATCTTGGTTCTTCCAGTCAACCCAGCTGCAATGGGGTAGGGAAGAGCAGAATCAAGGGCAGACAGCAGTTGTTACTACCCAGATCTACAGTCAACTGTGATCACATACTGCTTCAGTGAACTGCAACAGCACTGGAAACAGACTTTGACACTACCGCTAACAGGTATCATCACTGGCCTTCCATGATGGGACCATGTACAAGTGCTAACAAAACAGCATATAAACTTACTTGGAGTGAAAACGCTCGTAAAGCAGGAATAGGGATTAAGGCAGCCATAAAGAAAGCAGTAACATTGCTGATAGATGTAAGGGCTACGCTTGCTCCTGTTCGCTTCAAACATTCACCTGTTCTGTCCTGCAAAACAAATGGCGTATCTTAAAAGTCAAGTGAATAAGGTGATGTCCTGCAAATGAAGAGGTCATCCTACAGATATAATGCAGCAACAGTGAAAAATTATTACAACAAAATTCTGAATACAAGTGTGCTTTTCAGAGCATGTGAGAACAAACAATATGCTAAGCATGGTGTTGAGGAGCAAAGCAGATGGCACATGAAGTGCTCATGCTTTCTGCATGAAAAAACATGGTAGAAAACATTATCAAACATTACCAAAGCTAATTCTAGCTTTAGAATGCAAAACTAAATGGGTACTGACATTGTAGTAAATATATCTGCAATTAAGTATGATGTTTTTTCTACCAGTGGAGTCCCTTGTTGTTCTCATTTTTCAGACAAAATAAGCATGTATTAACAACATACAGGCAAAACATCGCTGTGCATCTTGAAGAAGTATGTAGCAAAACAAAAAACCAACCCAAAACCCAGGGGCCACAAACAAAAACCACAAAGAAATCAAGATAAACGCATGACCCTTTCCCAACCAAACAGGCTGTTTTGAAGCATATGGAGGTTATAGCAGGGTGAGGTTGTAGTGCCAGCATGCCAAATCAGCTGGAAAGAGCACATGGAAGACATTGCTTGTACAAAACAGAATGGGCAAATATACACTGCTTTTAAAGGGCTTGTACTTTGGATATGAAACTTTGGACTGGGGGTGAAAAGGTCAATAAAAGGAAAGGATAATAAAAGTGATGACATCTTAGATTTCATAACATTCATATGTTATGCTTTGAAACATCATGGTCAATTTTAAATGTTAGAAAAGAAAAACACAGAAAAATATACAAAATAACTCTAATTTAAGGCCATAGTAAGTAAGTAGACATAACAGTTGATGCAAATAAAAAGAAATGTTTGTTTTCTAAGCTGTCCTCCTTCTCTTTCTTTTCACCTTGACATTTTTGTGTTTTTCCATTAAAAGCATTCTATCATTTAATTGTCAGACTTGTATTTGGGTTTGTTCCTAAATTTACATCAACTTTCACTGACATTTTGGGCAGAATTTGGATTAAATAAATTAGCCTTTATGTGACAGCTACAATCCAAATTTTCCATTTACAAAATAAATCTAAGACACTATTAAAAAAAAAAAAAAAAAGTGAACATTCCAAAACATTGTAGGATCACATGCATTGCCATCATTTCCTATTTTGACAGAAGTTAAGAATTTCCAGACATTAGAAAAAGCTATTGAGAAAAAACACTGGTTTTTTTTAATCACTACTAATTAATTCTGGATACAGTTATCTTTTTGTATATGAAGCCTTTTGTTTTCTCTTCTCCCAAATCCCCATTTTGTCATTACCTCGAATGGAATTCTCTTATTCTGCCCTGTTTCGCTAAATGCATGTGCCAGAAGGAAAACATCATCTACACCAACTCCAAGAGCAAGAAAAGGCAAAACCTTGGGGGAGAAACAAAACAAACAAAAAACAAGAAGGTTGTTTTATGATCTGCCATGCAGCCAGCCATTAAATGGCTAATTAAAGCAACTTTTACATTACACTGTACACAAATCCAAGGGTAAAATGAAAATCAAAAGGATGCCATACAGCTATTAACTTTTATTCTGGAATACTACTGAGGAACTTGCAGTTACCATTTACAGGTACAAAATCTCACCAAAAGTAATTCAGGTTGGGGGTAGACAAAAAATATCTGATAATAATTCAAGTTATATTCAAAATACTTTCAGAATTTGAACATCCTGATATATTCAGATGTCAAGACAAAACCTGCAGCTTCTTATGTACAACTGGATGCCTTCACTCATATTGCGACACAGAAAAATCAAATGACCCAGAGTCTAGTAATTTATTACACGACCTACAAGATACCTGTTCTCATTCTTCAGTATCATTTGGCAGCATGACCACCTAATTTTTCACAGCATAAGCTATGAGATAGGAGAAAGGCACAAGTAAAAATCTAGAGCCAAAATACTTCTGCAGCTTTTCTCCCCTCAAAGATTCAGTTGTGTTCATTTACTAACAAAGTACTTGTAATTTAACAGCAGACTCATGTCTCCTAAATACCTGAGTTGTGGCAGCATTAAAGGAAATTCCAATCAATGAGCACAGGCCCAATCCTGCAGCCACTGAGAGTGCAACCAACAAGACTCCTGCCAGCCCCACGGCACCCTGAGACTTGGCACAGTCCCACCGCAGCATTGTTAAGCAGGCGTAGGCAAGCTAAAGCAAAGGGAAGGAGGGGAAGAAGTCGGGGGAGGAAAAAAGCAAAATATTAGAATGGATCCTCCTCTAACAGCTATCTCCCCACCCAAAACACACATCCTTACAAACATTTTTAAACAGAACAGACACATCACAGATGCTACACAGAGGAGCAGGTGACAAGCCTGAGGAAAAGTTTATAAACCGTAGCTTTTATTGTAAATATGCCTAAAATGTTCTGGACTACTGACTGGTTAACAATGAAGCAGATATTTAAGCCCTGCTCTACTACCAGAAAAAAATTAAATAAATTTATTTTATTACCATTAGTAAGTAGCCACTAGCTACTCTGATTACACTGACATCAGAAAATGACTTTAGGATGTCATCCAGGGTGGTCGTAGTAAAGGAAAGCACCTTCTGAGTAGAGTTCTGTGCAACACTTTGATGAACAACCTATGAGAAGAAAAATAAAACTTGGTGTGACTAAAGAAAAAAAGCCATTACCATCTTCTACAGCACACATCTGAAATCAACCACTTCTGCCTTCAAGTTCCTGCAAAAGCCCACACCCTACACAGAGATTATGTTGATGCTACACAAATGTGTTTGGTAATTACTTCTCGAAAGCTACTAGTTATCAGACCAGAATTCGCACCCTTCAGGAAAGGCTAATACATTCACAGCCCATTCCAAACATTTAACTGGAATCCTCTTCCTGTAACTCCACCATGGATTTGCTGCAATGCCTGTTTTGCCTTTAACCCAAGGCCAGCAGCCTCTCTGGGGTGCTCCTCCTTCCCCCCTGCCTGGCCATTCCCAGAGGTCAGAAGCAGCGCAGCAGCGGTCAGAGCTGGGGACACAGTGGCCAGGCACTGTCCCCTGGCCTCCCTGCCTGGGCTGCTGCTGGGAGAGCAGCCTGCGGCTGGCTAATCTTTTCCAGACACCTGTAGAATACCCATGCCAACCAAAAGCTTTTATATTCCAACTAGCTCTTTGGTTCCTCCTCAGCCCCAGCAGAGCAAAAATGTCCCAGACAGCAAAGAGCAAAACTTCATGGCTTCTCATATGTGAATAACCAAGCTGCTTCTTAACTGGAAAAAAAAAAAAAAAAACAAAAACAAAAAACCAAACAAACCCACCCCCTGTCCCAGCTTAAAAACTGGGAGGCAATGACTCAGTTCTGGTTTAAATATCTTCTTTGAAGAAATACTGTAAAAAGTGGTGACAGAAGGCAGCAGATCTCAGCAGGACTTTACAGTATGACATCTAGGTTATTTTCAGTTTTACCTCAACATACATCCTCTGCCAGGCTTCCAGAATTGCCGCTGCCTTGTCCTCATTCCAGTTGATATGCGAAACATATTCATACCCCTTGAAGTGCTCATACATTTGCTTAGGAGTCATTAACTGAAACATGGTTTGCAAAGCCTGGGCACTGTGACATGGAGAGAAGGAGGAGGAGGAAGAGAGGCACCAAATGAGCATTTTCAGGAATTATTTTCATGGCATCAAGTCCCAAATGAGACCCTAACAGGAGCTTGCATGAGTTCTTGATTTTATAGGGGCACATGTTTGTATTACAATTGAACAGAGTAGAATTATTCTACCGTGTATCTGGTGCAGCTGTACTGGTCTATGCAGTACTGAGGCTAAATCTGGTTTCACTGAAGTTAATGAGAGTTTTGCCATTATTTTCAATAGGATCAGTTTCAGGAGCAAAGAATGTAACCCTACAAATCAGTTATAAAGATCAAGACTGATAGCCAGGTTACTGTGAGGATGCCACAGGAACAGTTATTCCTGAGAGATCCTGTAAATGCTGTTGGAAATTTACCATTTAAAGACCTTGGTCTTTTTCATCCCTTGGAGAGAAATGCCAGGTTAAACTCGGGGTGCCTGACAAGCTGCGAGGAGTACACAATGGCGATAACTATGCATCCTGCTTTTCCACAGTATGCAACTGTATTCAACAATTTTAGAAGCTTAAGGAATTGTTTCATTTTTCACTAAAAAATACATTCTTTGGCTACTTATTGGAAGACTTATCAATGTTTAGTGTGAAGGTAACAAAGGTCAAAATTCGTATTAAAAGTTCTAGTAGAAGTTCTCTGCATTAAAAATGGAAGAATTATGCTTCTTTTAGTTTGCTACGGCCTACATTTTTCAGAACAGTTCTATTTCATAGGTTTTTTCCACACTTAAGTCCAGTGTTCCATGACTTCTTCAAGAAGTCTGAAACAAAGGGGTTTGTCTTACCACTCAAAACTGTATTCAAGATGTAGGGACATAAAAAGAGACTTTTCTCTATCTTGATCCTGAACAAGAAGTTCAGCGGAGATTTTGAAATTCTGAAAAGAGTCAAATGACTGAGCACATCATCCAAATATTTTTTTTCCCTGTTTTCCTTTCATCGTATTTCAAAATATCATCAAAGGTGCTCAGTGCTTTACACACTGTTCAATATACATACATTCTAAACAACAAAGTTGCCAGGAGAAAGCTTTGCTTTCTGAGCGACGCACACTATCATACTGAGGTCAGAAGCAGGAAGCAATGACACCTCCTTGAATTTAAACAACTGTCTAATCACTCTTTTAAATTCTCTTGAGCCATGTCCTCCTAAACTGGGATTCATAATACAGGTGAAGGGCAGTAGATTTTGCATGATCCTCCCTGTGCCCCAAACCCCAAACTCTAACGAAGAAAAACTTTGAAATTTTCTGTAAACATTTCTTTACCTGACAAGTTTTCCAGAACTGTTCTTGACTGTACCGCCTATAATCAACTCCTCCTGCCAATGCATGTATTTTCTTGACAGTCCATAGCATCCACCACTCAAAACAAGGGCTATATCAAGAGGCTAGAAAAAGTTATAAAGAAGCAATTAATCAGTTTGATAACTTCAGACAAACTCGTACTCTAATTCAACACCCAGTATACTACAGTAAGGGATATTAAAGACAATCTAGGAGGTCTATGAAGGGAAATGCGTGCAACGAATCATGTTGAACAGATCAGATGGATGCTTGTTGACCAGACGGCAATTTCTCCAAAGCCTGATGTGATTGATAAAGGGATATATAAAATAGGGGGCCTGTGACTTCAAGTTCTTCACAAAAATCAACAGAACTGGTGCCACCTGAGGGAAGGCTTTGCTGCATGGTGTGAGCCTATGGCGGTGGCTGTATGCCAGCAGTGGCTTAGGTTTGTCTGAGGCATAAGGTTGCTGAAATGCCACATCACCACTTTTCCACACCAGCCAGCAGCTGAGAACTGTACTCTCACTCTGAATACGTGGGATTAGGCACTGCATCACAGAATGAGGGGAAGTTCGTGACTGTCGGCTAACAGCGTACATCATCTAACAGGAACGGAAAAATGACACTGCTCAAGAACACAAGCTACATATTGCTTGGAAGGAAATGGTACCTTCTTCTCTCCTCTCTGACCTAACCCTCAGTCCCAGCCTCCTTTGAAAAGACATGCACAAGGACAAGCAAACTTACTTTGGTGGAATTTTTATTGGGAGCTGTGATTGGGCAATCGGGATCAGCAGGATTCAGGCAGGGTCGATCCATGTAACCATGACCAACCTCTGCTTTATTCAGCATTTCTTCCCAGCTCTCCACTTGGTAGTTTATTTTCTTTAACTCTTCCAAGAATTCTAAGGGGTCAAAGTTGATCCACTGCAAAGGAGGCTTCCCTCTGCAAAAGAAACCAGGATTAAAATTACACACACAGAAAGGATAGAAGAAGTACTGAAACAAACATAATTTCAAATTTCATATTTGCACAAATAATTGAGTTATCTTCTGTTACAAATTAAAACCTTTTTCTGGTAAGGTGGTTTCATAAAATGTAAGGCATGCTTTAATTAATTTGTTTACGTACTTTTGTGGCAGCCCAGTTGTAATTTTAACAAAAATACTCAGTTCTTACAAAGCTATTGTATAAAACAGAATATTCACAGGTTAAAAATACTTCCATTCACAAGCAAGGCAAAACAAATCATCAAGTACCTAAGTATAACAAAAAAAGCAGCCAACTGCTGCTTCAAAGAAGTAGGGGGGGAGGGGAGGGGAGAGGAGGGGAAAGAAGAGAGCAGCTGAGGAAAGAAAGCCTTTCTCATAGTATCAGATTACTTCTTGCTAGTATAATAATCATCTTGCAAATGTAATCAATCAATATAGCTGATCTTTGTTTATCTACAACAATACCGCACTCCTTCAAATGCCCTGGCAGCTTGACTATCAACCATCCAGCTTTCCTGCTACCATGACTGTCATCACTATCACTGTCACGTCTCCCACCCCCCACTTCTGAATTTGTGATGTTGCCAGACCAGAAAGGCTTTTGGCTGCCTTATTCTGTGGTTCAAGCCACACTGTATCTGCTTAACCAGGCTTAAGTCATTATTCCGAATCTCCCAACCAGAAAACACAAACCCCCTTACTTCCCCATCTAAAACTGTACACTAAAGGTTAGAAGATGGCCATTGCAAATTGCTTTTACAGAGACATGCAAACCAGGACAGAAACAATAACTCAAATGCTAACTCTTGCATAATTAACAGAAAATGCCTGCACAGATTAACAATTAACTCTTTAAAGGATTCAGGGCATATAATATCACACTTGTAAACTGTGAGAAACCACCCATAAAAGATACTATATGCTTTCTCTAATGATCTCATAAGCAAAGGATTTGTTCTTTACTGCTTAGGAAGATTTGAGATTTAACTCAAGCCATTTTCTTAGGAATAAAGTTCCCAGCCAATCAATGTTTTTGTATTTTATGAAAAAAAAAAAAAAAACCACAACAAACCAACACAACAAAAACACCCACTAGAAACAAGATTATTTCAGGGGGGGGAAAAAAAAAAGCATAAAATTCTTAAAGCTTGAATTCAGAACTTACATTTTATTTTGCATGCTAGCAGAATGGGAGAAATAACGTAGGATTTACACCAATGCCTACAAACCATCTCTTAGAAACAGGAAAGTCTTTGTTCAATGGAAAAAAGATCCATGCATATTTTCTCTAAGGACACTATCTTTTTTTTTTCTATTAAACCAGAATCTGAATAAACAATGAGAATGCAACTGAAAAATCATACACAGTTATACAATTAAAATCAGTCAGACCAGAAAGTTATAAAAAACCCCATGCTTACAACAGATAGGCAGTTCCTGACTGTAGCTTTGCTCCCTCCCAGAAGCAGTCCAAAGGAGTGATAATTAAGCAAGGATAAAGATACTCTATGATCTGTCAAAATCAGAAAAGGAAAAAACACAGTTATACTACATATAATCAAAGCAGCACAAGCTGAATCATGAGAATACACAAATCTTGGAACTAAATGCCTGCTACACATACCTGGTCCATGTAGCCTGCTTCTGTGATGAGTTCTCCTGATTTGTAACACAAATGTTCCAATTTCCATTGTCTGTGAGAAACATAGAGAGTAAGTGGTTTTTTTCTTGCACAATTACGGAAAAGTTCTTTTTAAAATGCAAGACATTTAAAATTGCAACTCACATACACACACTGGCTTCAAGCAGCAAATCACTGAGGAAGGCAAATACCTATTCAGCATAGAGATACCACACCTCACAAAAAAAGGAAAGGCCTTTCTTTCTGTAGTTCCAGACTGGACATTTGTTGCAGTTGTTCTCACATTCTCTGTAAAACTCATTAAAACCTGTGGTGCTGCTTTTGGATGAACAAGCTAATCAAGACACACACATAAGATTTCTGTCCCTTTAACGTATGAAGTGGGACCACTTGCGACTTAAGGTGTTGCTCAGTGACACAAGTGAGAGAGAAGGCAGGTCCAGCTCAGAGGACAAGAATATTCCCAGTTGATCTACACATGCAAGAGAAAAGAAACCATGAGGATTTCTGCCTGCCTTTTTCAGCTGTGTTACAACTTCCACTGCCATGACTTCTAACGCCTTAGACAAGGCAGGAGCTGGGTAGAAGGCAACTGGATGTGCTGAAAAGATGTGCTAAAAGACGGGGGGCGGGGGGGGGGCTTCATGCCTCGCAGGCAGCACCCCCAGGCACATCACCGTGCATGCAGCAACCCTGGAGGAACCAGGGGAACATCTCTCTTAGCCCAAAGCAGGTACCTTCCTAAGGTGCATCTTTACTATTTTTTTGTTGGACAACAGATGACTACCAGCCCCTCGCAGGCAGCACCCCCAGGCACATCACCGTGCATGCAGCAACCCTGGAGGAACCAGGGGAGACATCTCTCTAGCCCAAAGCAGGTACCTTCCTAAGGTGCATCTTTACTATTTTTTTGTTGGACAACAGATGACTACCAGCCTCAGTAGGTGTATACAGACACTCTGAAGGTCCGCTCTGTTAGGTCTATTTCATTAAACAGCTATTATTCTGTCCACTGCCATTTCTCACATGTCTGCATTTCCCTTTATATCCAAACTATCGGAAGGATAGCAACCTGTGCCGCTGTTCACAGTCCTTCATGATAGTGTCAGTAAGTGAATTCAGCTCTAATATGGAAGGATTTTCAACGTGAGGGATCCCATCCATAAGGTCCTATGTTTAAGAGCACAGATGTCACTCCTTTACCAAGACAAATGCTGGATGCTGGTAGCACTGCTCACAGGGGTACACTCTCCGAATCTCTTCCAGCACCGCTTACCCCACCTTACTTGTTAAAAGCCAGCTTGTCACTGCCATCACACCACAACGTCAAGTATCAGAAACCAGTAATGTTCATATCAAAACACAGTCCTATGGAGAGGCTCCAAAGTGCTAACCATTTAAAAATACACGGAGGGAAGCACGTGCCCACTTTTTAGCTGTTACAAATGATCAAGAAAACTTCTGCTTTCCCCCTTACCTGTTGTACATATAGACATGCACTCTGCTGGCCTGAAGTGCAGAGTCAAGGTGCTGCCGGAGTGCTTCTGTTGTTAGTACGTTAGCACCATCTTCCTGTGGAGTCTGGATCATGAGCTGGGGGTTAAACATGGCCTCTTCTCCAATCTTCTGCCGTGTGTAATTTAACTCCTGACTCACTCGTCCACCAACTGATGGATAAATATCAACAACTTTGTATTAGCCAGTAGCCCCTTACTCCAGGTTCACGCAATGAGCGCTCTGCAAGTCAGAAAAACTTGACCATGTGCATGGACTATTCTGTCTCAGACTGATCACAGTAGAACTCTAGAACTAAGAACAACTTTAGTCACGCTGCAGCAAAAAACATATTCCTCATTAAAATACCATTGCCCCTACTGCACTAAAACACTGATGTGTAAACTGGAGCCTGAAACATTTTTTTTCCTACATTATAACCAATATCCCACATGTAAAAATTAAAACAAGAAAATAAAAACCTTTTCCTTGCAGACCAGACCAAATACTATGTTACAATTTCTTGCACTTGTATAAACAGTCTGCTCCAACAGCACATTTCACGATAAATGGCTTTAATTTACACTCTTCTCCTAAATAATTTGGCAAAGGCAGGAGGAGAATGTTTCTCTTCAGTTAAAAAAAGGAGGGAGGGAAGGAGTAAGTGAGCATGAGTACTTCTTTCAGCCTTAAGTAAAAAAGAAAAAAATACCAGAAGTTCACACAGAAAGATGCCTTTTTGAGTGTAGCAGAAAGGACTGTCTACAGCTAATTTACAACAGTGGTCCAGTACCTGCATAATACGCTGTGAGGCAGGAGATCATTCACGTGCAACATCTGTTTTTAAACCCACACAAGCTGAACAGTGTGCTCCATATTAAAACATGGTGGTGGGGGGGAAAAAAAACAAATAAAAGAATAGAAGAAAAAGGCAGAGGGAGGCTGCAAAGTCAACATGCTCTAGAGGGAGCCATATGCAATTTGCCTTGCCAGAAAATACTGCATCAGAATGGAAAATTATCTTCCTTCTTACAAAAAAGCACTCAGCTAGAGTTCATATACTTTATATGACCTCCCCTGTAGTCTCTCTAGCAAATGCATGTGGGAGGCGGGGTCAATTAATTCAGCCCATTAGCGGAATCAATACCACATCCAGATGAGGAGGACATGAATACCACCACCATGTTGTTTCCATCCCTTACAATTTATTACCGTTATTGCTTTGCTAAGTCCAAGCTGCAGACCTGGTTACATTTTTTTTAGTCCTCGTCAGCTTGGCACTGGTGATATGAATCACTGCCAAGGTTTACTTCTGCAACGGTGCAAATAGACATCAGGCATGCACATTTCTCTCTTCCTAGGCTGTGCAACACAAGACTGATCCGTAACCAGTTAGCAGTGTGAGAGATGACATTCCTGAGCCTGAACAGGGACCTGCTTTTTCAATCACTTGGGCCCACAACCCACCCATAACCCTACTGGAGCTAACAGGACCAACAGGCACGAAGCTGAACCCCTGCACAGCTAAAGCAGTCAGAATGAGACCCTCAACAACTAAACCACACAGTCATTCTGGCACGAAGCACCGCTTAATTGCTAGTTCAAGAATTCTTTGAAGAAATAAGCATTTCCACAACGCGCTCCATTTTTTCAGCCTGTCACATGTGGCATTACCTCCTTCACACCAAGTAACAGTGACCAGCTCACAGTAAGAAAAAAATAAAAATCAAAGTATGACTTCCTTACCTAGACCCCTTTTGCAACTTCTCAACATCCCTCTTACTACAGTGAGAGAACATACAGACATTTGAGACTGTGTATGCATGGTAACAAAAAGCAACTGTTAATCTTTATCAATAACTAAACCCTAAAAATGCTTTCATTCATCAGGCTCGCCTTCACCATGCTCACTACCCTCTTTCTCCACCAACCAGCAGTCTATGGCATGCTAATAAATTTTGCCGCATCTTACAGGAATATGGGGTGGGGGTAAGTGAGCGGAGTTATCCTCATCTGTGTGTGTTGGAACCAGAGCGTTCTTTTGCAAGTCCTTTACTCTGCAAGTGCTTCCAAAGACAAAATGTCTCTCTCCCTCTTCTGCATCTCAATGCCAGCCAAGACAACAAAGCCCCAATTTTATGAGGACCGTGGAGTCTGCCACAAACTTCTACTCCTGGTACTATATTCTCTCTTACTCCACCCACACTCTCCTTGTGAATTTAACCAGGACTTGAACCAACAAATCCCACTTCATGCAAGACAAAGGGCAGCATTCCCATCTCTGCTGAAAGTGACCAACTGTTTACTATCAACAGAAATGATTGCTTCCTAATCAAGGTCCTGTCAAACCACATTAACGTCACTGAACAAGGCAGATTTAGCCAATCAAAATCGCATCGCACAAGTCAGTCACCAGAACAGAAGCTGTTTTTTTCCCCTTTTGAAACAGGAATGGCAAAACGACCCAAGGCGATGGGTGCGTGTTCCAGAACACAGCAACAGATCTGCTCCGCGTTCTTCTTAAGGCATTACACCACTTAATTATTTCTCTCATAGGTCCATTATGTACATTTCTTCAGCCAAATAGAGTAAAGATAAGTCCACAGGCAAATGTACATACTTTATACGACGTAACATTCAGGTACAAAGAAATTATAAAGGTAGGTCACAGTGGAAAAATCTGATTGCCAAAGTCAGATTATGTGAAAACATAGGGACAGACCAGAAGCAAATGGATACATCAGCAGCCTTTCAACGTATCAGAAGTAATAACAAGCAAAAGGGAAGGCCAAAAATATTTTAGAAGTTTTTACCAGTTATGTTTTAATTTAATTGAATGTTTGCAAAGATCAGTGGAGGCTGCCACACCCAGAGATTTTAAACCTCCACAATCAGCACAATCAGCTGAATATGCACTTTTTAAAAATCAAGCAGTCCTGTTGCCTTTTTTTTTTCCCAGACTATCCACAGCTGGTGCAAAAACCTAGGAGAGAAACCATGAAAAATGTCAATGAAATACACCTGAAGCCTCTGGCCTCACTGTGCCAAACATACAAAACACTACGCTCAACATTTGCACACTCTGCAGAAAGTCATTCCTTACACTCCTAAGGAAAAAAAAATAAAAATACACACATTATAGTCATCATAGGATTTCCACACTATAGGACAAATTATGTAATGGAAAATAAGACCAATGAACAAAATGCTGGTGTTCTGTGGTTCTCCTTTATGGACTCTGTCATCTTATATTTGGTGACAACAACAATTTACAGTCAAAACGCTACTGATTTAAATTGTATGTATGGCATACAGCACCAATACTTCCCGTTTTATTCCATATCGAAGACAGACAGAACTCTTCCACTTTAATATGCTGGTGGTAAAATCCACACATCGCTCTCCTTTTCTCCTATCAAAAGCCACTTGATGGTATTTGAGTCCTTTATTACATGATTCCTTACGACTTAGCACCTTGACTGGCTGAGCTGGTGGCACAAACTCCCACAAGCCAAAATGCTGATTTAAATAACAGATTGGCACATTGCCGCAAGGCCAATGGTAAGGCAACGCAGCAGTTTGTATGCTCTCCTTCCAGCAGTGTCATCAGATTCTGGGCGCCCGCCTACTAGAAATGAGATACTATGCCATCTTCCAAAGCTGAGATCCATCCCCCTCATCTTACAAACACACACGGCAACCTCACAAGTTGAGCGTGAAGTGGCAAACGATTTTATTATAGGTAGTAAAAGTCTTAAAATTTAAACAAAAAAAAAAAAAAAAAAAAAGTGGCGGTGGTGGGGAAATGACAACAAAGTAGTAACACCAGTGTCCTGGCACCGTTTCTCACTGAATGTATCAGTTTCCAATTCTCAAGAATGTGTTTGAAGGCCAGTGCTCAACAACAGACGGTTTTACTGCCAGCATCTTTGTTGCTGAGTATCAGTTCTTGTTAAAAACCTGGGTTTTTTTCCGGCGAAGAGGAAAGTACCTCCCCCTTGAGCAAGCCAGCATCCCGTACCACGAAACACACTGCTGCTCCTTGTGAACTTCCCCACCGACCTGAAGGGAAGCTGGTCAAGGTGCCAAGTTCTCTGCCCTTCTGAAGGGCCTGAGGAAAGCAGTAATTGTCAGGACGGAGGCTGGTTGCTAAGACCTACGTAAGGACCACCATGCCTCTCTCCCCGAAGAGCAACAAACAGCTGTCAGGTGGCAACAAGTTTTAGTCATCCTTAACTTGAGGCAGGCCTGAACGCATGACCTATAGGTGAAAGGCTCCAGATCCCATTACCAGCCACTGGGGTCACGGTCCCAGCGTTGCAGTCATCACACATTAAAATGCTTCAATGCATCTTAAGCAAGAATCACCCAGAAGAACAAAACTGCTTGCCTCTAGCATACGTTCTGCACAACGCCGATGCACCCTCCAACGGCGTAGGAGTGAACCACGTCTGTTTTCTTTGGCACAGTTGCTGACAGATCTCCTTCCACTGACTTACTAATAATTTAGCAGTTGCTGGGTTGTTCAGCTCATGTGCTCATTTCCACTGCGAATGTCACTGTCTTACCTACGCCTTTCTCACCCTCAGCATCCAAAATTTATGTGGCATTACATTAACATGCTTACGAAGAATGCTGGAATCCACCACCAAGAACTGCTGTCCCTTCCACACCAAGTAGTCCCGGGACTAAGTTTGACCTCTTCTGCACTAACAGATCAATCCTAAATCAAGCCGTGAGTGATAGGCAAAAATCACTGCTTGTTAATTTACCGTCCATTTGCTCAAAAGGCATGAAATACTTCTTTTTCAGAGTATCTCACAATGTTCCATTTCAGGTTACTGGAATTGCATCATATAGCCTGAGGTTTTGTTATTTTTTTCAGACATGAACACTACCTCTATTAACCATTCAATAGTCACCTTGTGCGCAACAGCGCAGCAAGTAGCTTAGTAGAGAGCAAGGTCTCTCTGAAAGAAGAGCATTCCTCAGAGCCAAACAGTTGGGATGAAAATGTTTGCCTAACAATGCAGAGGACAGACTTTGAGAAACCAAAGCCAAGACTGGACCTACTGGGTTTGGAGCCTAAGTTCTTCTGTGACAAGCCTGAGGTGCATGAATGCAGGAGAATTTTCTGGAGAACCTCCCTTCCTAAGACTATGGGCCTTCAGGTGCTTGCACTTGAGGACTTGTGGGGGAGCAGGCACACTTCTGCGTTGTTTGAGCAACACCATCTTCTTCATTTTTCTAGGGCTGCAAATGTGTAGCATTAGAGCAACCCAGCCCAATCTTTTGACTGTGACAACTCAAAGCAATAGAACTGTACCTCTAACAGTCATGGATATCTCATGCTAACAGTGTTTTTATTTCATTCTTGCAAAAGACGCTGTCTTTTTCTGATAAACCAGACGTGTACATTAGTATCCCTTGTAATGCTTATATTACGGCCTGAGCAATAGCCAAGGCAGGCAACCTCTGTGATTTGCAGTACCTGTTACCGCCACAACAGGAACCAAAGAGAAATAGAAAATATAAAACCTTCATGACTCAGCAACTGTATAAAAACAAAGATGGAGAATAGTATCCCGGTGTGTTCACCCAAGACTCAATGTTTACCAACCAACCCCAAAAGCAGCAGGGTGCAGGGAAAGACGAGGAGAGCCCAGACCTGCAAGGAGGCCAGACAGCCCCCCGCTACATGATGGGGCGAATGCCAGGGAAAGCTGCAGGTGCCTTGCCTTCTCTCCTTTTGGCACCCTCTCGCTGCCGGGATGGGAACCAGGAAGGGTCTTTGCTTTCATATCTCTCTCCCTGGCATCCCAGGTAGCCTATCTCCCTCGGCTTTGACTGCTGCTAAGGGCTTCCTCCTGCTCTTCTTCCTCACGTAGTCCCCTTCTCCTCCTGTGCATCTCTACTACACGCCTATGCACATGTTACCAAAAAACTACAAAACGAAAACTAGTTTCAGTCCATTATGATGGTACGTGGATAAACCAGCCAGCCACAGTTTTGCCCTCCCAACCAGTCCTGATTGCCTACCGGGATGAGGAGTATTCACACCTGCTGAAACCAGAAGGCAGTGCCTAATGACACCAATGACCGTGCCCATTTTTCACTCGTGAAGGAGCACAGACCTCATGACAAAACACAGCAGCCAAGCGCTACTCACGCAGGACTGAAACCGCCTATAAGGAAACTGAGATAGAGTTGAAGTTCTCTGGCAGATAAAAAGATTATCCTGCCTCTTTTTGGGCATGGAAAAATAATGGCCTTTTGATTTAAGGCTTCCTGGTGCTCTCTGGGGAGTTTCCTCAGATGTTTTGAGCTTGTCTGTGCTGCTCTTCATCAGCAACAGAATATAGTTTTTCGGCACACAGACAACATTACTTAGCAACCTGATGGAAGAGCAAGGAAGGCAGCACCTTCCTCAGAATTAGCGTTCCCCAGGCCTGAGTGCAGGGGTGAAACTGTTGGCTGGGAGGAAGGGCAAAATGCTTTCATTGAAATCTAAGTTTAGTCAGTAGAAATTTAAGTTTAGTCAGTATAAGAAATGGGACTGGTTGGCACATCCGCTCCTTCAAACTTTTAAAATGCTCTCTGCTTGCAGAGTCAGAACTGCTAGTGGTTTACATGGCTGACCCGTGAATTTATTAACTACAGAGCATTAAGACATTACCATGTATTTGATGTATCTGATAACAGTGCTAAGGATGGCTCTCATAAGCCCATCAGGACTACATTATAAAAAAGTTTTAGCTACCTGCAATGCTTTTTTTCTGCTCATCTAGTTAACTATGCAAAACAAAGACTTCATAGGGAGTGACTGAAATTGAGCTACAAAAAAAAAAAAAAAATCCGTTGAGAAATGACGAGCTTACAAGAGCTAGAACGCACTGGTAAGCAATCAGCATCTTAAAGAGGTTACATGGTCCTTCAATGGGCTGTGCAACAGCTCAGTGAAAAATTATCTTTATCATGTAATTAGACATGATCTGTGTCAGCACTGGACTACAAGCAGTCAGAAATTCCATGCTGTGTCTAGGTTTTCTCACACAGCACTTACTCAACTGAACGCACATTATCTGTGTTTGCAAGGCTCACGTGGAGCAGCAATGGTGGTGCCTGCCCAGGTTTGTAGAGCCTGTGCCCTGCCATCTCCCTCCCCAACACCCAGGTGGGCACACTACACTTCTCCTTCTTCCCCATTACAACGCCCAACAAAAGGACACCGTCTGCTGAAAATACCTTCACATTCCAGGGTGAAGATTTAACTGACTTCCAATCTCTCTTCAGCACCAGTGACTTCTAGGAAAATCTAGAAGCGATGTGACCATCTCAACCATTTCTGTCACACCAAGAATTAGATAACACTACGTTCTTTGCATTTGCTTAAAAAAGAAAAATCAAAAATAAGACTGTGGCCTACAAATGCAAAAAAAGTTACAAAAAAACCCCCACAACAAAGCACTTCCAAAAGTTACTTTTTATCTCCTGATCCATCATATGATATGAGTTAAGTTACTCCTCACACATGCTGGGGATGACTCCAGCATTGCTGTTACAAATTTCATTAATGCTGACAGGATTATGAATAGCAAAAATAAAAAGACACATCAAAGATGGCTTTTCCTTCTGTCACAGTTTGACAAAGTTAGAGCTGTGACAAGGATGCAAAGCTGTCTGCATACTCAGGAAGACAGCCCAACAACAGCTGCCTCTGCTTGTAGTGGGAAACCTTCCCTGCAATTTTAGGAGCTAAACCCTTTTCTTTCCAAAAATCAATTAAGAGCCGTTTTCACACGTATGCATCTGTATTGCCCATGGGCAGAAAAATACTGTTTCTGATTGGGTAAAATAGATTGCTAAAAAAAAAAAAAATCTGGTATTTTTTGATGCATTTCTTGCTCAGTGCCCCTCTGGGTTGAGAAATGGGCAAAGTGCATTGAAAAGCCCACCCCAGAACAAATTGAACAGTACAAACCGAGGAAAAAAAAAAAGAAGCAAGCAGCTTTGCAACACGTACCGTAACATACAAAACTAGTACATGCAATTCCAAGTTTCCAACCAAACATAAAACGCGGTAGCTGCTTACTGAGCTGCAACACATGCCCTTGGTAACAGGGTATGAGCTGTTCACCTCTGGGTCACTGGTTCTAATCCACCCAGGAACAATAGTGACCACAAGTTGTTTACCATCTGACAGCTGTTTGCTAGCTGATGCGAAATGAGTTGGTGGTCTCAGTCCATTTCCTAGTGGGCAGGTGTCCACATTACAGAAAGCCACCATCACAACTGGCATCCTTGTTGACCATCCCAACAAAGAGACCGAGGAATGAATGGGCATGGAGAGCGAACTATCCTTTCTTCCAAAGACACGGTCCCATCAAGTCAGAGCTAAGCCATGGCTTTTGGTGGAGAAGCCCAACTACTGAATTTTCTGGCTGCAGGAGCAAAGGAATAAAGGACTCCAGACTCTGCTTCTTCCTAGAAATCAGGGAGATGGCCTACAGTGAGGATAAGCGGCTAATACAGATTATTGCAACTCTTTGAAGGCTCATGGTCATGTAATAGTTTACACCTGCTGAGGAATAAAGCTGAATTTTTGTTTTTTGGTAATTTAAGAAAACATTTGAGCAGACTTTGTAACAGGCCAAAATCCCCAACCGTATGTGAGAGTGACGAAGTTTCCAGGAGTTCTGCTGAGAAGGGCATGTAAGGGGTCTTCACAGGTCTAAACATAAGGATTTCAAAACAGCTGAATATAATTGTTCTAAGTTAGCTTAACTTTAGTAAGAGCTTCTGCTGGGTAATATGTTAAAAACAATTTGCTGTGTTGTTCCACAGCAGTCAGCTTTCCTCTAGGCCCAACTTTTCATTTAACCTCTCAGTGCCCTTTCCTCAAATATGTAATTGTTTTCCTGTGTGGTTAAAAGCAGCATTTTTAAGTCTTTTCATCTGTACTCCTGGGATAGCACAAATTTCATCTGTACATGGAGTAGCACAAAATTTTAATGCACTTTTTTTTTTTAAAGGAGCAGCAAACAGCAACGAAAAAACCTCTTCATCCAGAACCTTTTAGGAGATACCTTTTCCTAAGCGGTGCTTTTAGGAGACAGCAAAACTAACATATAGAAAAATGAGAGGAATGAACATGTTATGAAACAGGGTACAAGTTTCTTTCAAGTATTCCCTACCAGCTGCTTGCTGTACCATCTGTTGCTGCCTAAGCAGCTTCCTAGTGAATGGCTTTGCACTGAAGCAGAACTGCTCTCGCTGTTGGACACAATCAGGTCAGGTCAATGCTCCCCCCAGCACCGAACCTGCTGCCTGTCACAGCTCCCCCCACCTCGATATTTCTTACTGGCCACCAGTTCCCAAGACAGTGCTGCATCTGTCAGGAGGCCCATTTTTCATAGTTTGCTTGCTATTCACACCGAGCTGTAAAGAGCACATTTCGTTTTGTGCAGGATGCAATCAGAGATTCCCGTTAGCTACTCTGAGAGCGTGACCATATGGCCAGGTTTATTCTGAAGGGCTGGGAAAGAAAGTTAAGCAACTGACCAAAACACACTCCACAAGACCACCTTTATTTTCTACTCCTGGCTAGTCCAATCACACGGGTGATTTTGCTCCACCACCAAGCCCACCAGAGGACAACAAGGGCTCATTCTCTCTTTGAACCAGCAATTACTAGAAGCTCCGGGCATGGGGGAGACATGCCCCTGCCGCAGCTGTCACGGGTGCATGGGCACAGGGGCAGTTTTGGTGGGGCATGCTGCCTCGCTGATGCATTTCCAACGCCGCTCCTTCCTGCTGCATCTGTGCAGAGAAACACATCACTGGGAGCCACTTTCATGATTTTGTTGCGAGCGGGATTAGCTGGATTAGGGGCTGATTCATAAGGACCCCCTGTGGCTGCGAGGAAGTTTCATCACAAGGTCAGTATGGTGTGAACTATATTCTGTCAACACCACCACTCCTTATAGCCCACTACAAAAAATACAAAAGGAAAAAAAAAAATTGCAAGTGAAATATATGAATGGTTTACAGCAACAAAGAGATTTACAGATTTCCCCATCAGCTGTTTAAAAAGACGTGTACCCTTTGACGCTGTGCTCCTTTAAAACAAGAAACCTGTATTAGTCATTTTTAATTTATAAATAATTTAGTGGTTTAGGAGGTGGAAGGAACCTAGGGAATAAGTGTAGCAACCCACGCACAAAACCACAGAGGAACTTTTCTGGCACTTAGTCTAAAACCAGTCATGCAGCTTGAAGATTGTTACACTGTTGAGATTTTATTATGCATAATGCTGTCACCTTCAAGACTATTTCATTCCTAGCCCCCTAAGTGCAGTAAATAACAGAAACAGATAATAATAATAAAAAAAAAGTGGGTTGGAATGCAGAAAGGAGAAGGTGAATTAAAGTTTTTTGTTTGTTTTTGCTCCTTAAAGCATAATGACCAAACTCATACTTCCC